GCCTCTGTGTTAACAGTGGTTTATGGTACCTATCCGCCAGCTCAGCGGCTGAGACTACTGCTGCCGTTGTGTGAGCGCTGGAATGTATGTGTGCCACCCAAGACTGACGCCGTGAATGAGGATGACTACTGCCGTGGGGTGGTACAGCAACTGGCTTTGAAGGCTGGCCGTGTGTGTGACATGAACGAAGACAGGAATAGTGTGGAAACGTTATCAACAATGAGTACGGTTGTGTGTATGAATGACCGATTGGATTCCATTTGGTGTGAAGGTAGAATACAGCCTACATGCTTTGGTGTCGATGGTGGGGCAACACATGGTCAGCACAGTTATTCTGGAGATGGCACTGTGTATGTTGAGGACCTCTGCTCCTCTACATGGGATTCTGATATCACCATTTACGCCAAGCGTTGTGCCTAGGAAGGTTACTGTGATGGATGTAACACAGTTTAACCCGTTTTTATTTTAGTATACTACTGTTGTTTACATTTTATTTGTAATAAATTAATTAAGGTTTTTCTTTAGCATCACATATATTTTAGAGAATTATTTATCACAACTATGGGTATCTGTTCTGCGTTATTCTCGTGCTGTTACCTTACTCGAACGGTGGAGTAATGAGGATTGCCACAGGGTTTTTATTATTGATAAGTATTTACCTTCTTTTCTTTTATCAAAAGTATTATTTCGTTTGGCGAATGTATATATATATTTTGTAGAAAGGTTTTTCCCCATGTATTTATATTATTGTCCGGCACTTTATTCACATCGTGCTGAATTGTGTGGTGGATGTGAACTCTGTGAATGGTGAATCAGCATGCTGGATGTGATGTATGAGAGCGATCATGTTCTCCATTTAGACTGTTTCTGTGGTTTTGGTTCTGCTCATTTGCTTCCTTCTGCACTATCCTGTGTTGCTTCTCCTTTCCTTCACTAGTGTGTTTCCATGTGTGGTTTGCTCTCATGACGGATCTTTTGGTGTGACGTGTGTCGCTGCAGTAGGCTGCCCTTCTCTCTCTATTTGTGTGTGTGTCTTGTGGTCTCTGTTCTTCGATCGTGACGGTTGCTCTGTGTTCACGACTTGCCGCTATTGGCTGCTGCTCCTTCTCTCTGTGTGTGTATGTGTCTACAAACAGGGTTGGGAGTGCAGGTTTCGTGTGCACCACCCTCGCGATACACACCTTCTTTACATGTGTATCTGTGTTTCTGCTATCCTTTTTTTCTTGATTTTTATTTTTATTTTGAATGATGATTTTTTTTGTAGAAAAGTTTTATATTGTAGGGTTGTTGAAAGAAAAATAGTAGTGTATTGTTTTCAAATATGGATTGTTCTTCATCGGCGTCCCAGTGTTATTTTTGTATGTATAATAGGTGTATAATAAGAATTATATACTTTTTTTATACCTGGTTGTTGGATTTAAGTCGTTTTCGTAATTTTTTACATTTAGTTCCTGCTGTTTTCTCTGTGTTACTACTCCTTCGATTCCCTACTGTGAATGGTATTGGTGAATCAGTTATTTCTGATGGTATGGTTGGGGAGAGTTTAACGTCTAATTCTTATGATGGAGTTCTAAGATTGACGAATTGCTTTCCTAATATGATAGTCTCACCTAGTCAAACAACACAGTACTGCGAGGTGGATAATGCCAATGCTTTGAGTAACTTGACTCTGATAGTTGGGTTTTACACTCCTGAAGGAAGACTCATTCCTGGATGGCCAGCTTCTCTTGTGGAGGGAACAAATCTCATTTCATTTGTGCCAAACAGTGGAGTTTTTTCAGGGGATATGAGTCTTGTTATTCTGAACTACGTTCAGGGAAAGGGTTCTATTCCAGTGACGAATAACTTCACCATGAGTTTTGTGAACTCTTTCACGACAATAGCATCATTTACTTCTAACAGTTCCTATTATGGGTTGAAGACAATGGTGCAGACAAATTTCCCAAATACCAATCCCATTCAGAACTACCTGCTGGTTCCTCCTCAGTCAGACTGTAATGCCATCGGAAAAAAATGTACTGCTGCTGCTGGATGCTACAATTTGACGACCTCTGCATCCCTTCCTGTTCCTGGGAATTATTCACTCTGCTTAACCGCGAGTGGATGGCGAGGCTACTACTTGCCGTGGGGTGCAATTCCTCTCGAGGTGAAGATGCTGGTGTCGCATCCACCGTATATGTTCACCAACGACATGTCCTATCTTCAAGTGGAAGATGCGATAACTGGCAATTTTATTACTGATGAGATTGATGTTTTCATCGTGAAGTGTTTGGATAATGAATGTCCTCCTGTAATGTTGGATAGTGGTAATTTAATCGTGAGTGTCAATGCATGTTATTATACCGGTACCTCTGATCGTATGAAGGTGTCTAAAATTGCTGGTAGTGAGCTATCGATAGAGCCAGGTGTATACGCTGTGTGTATAGATTTTGGTCTCGAAAGGGGCGTTTCACCTGCTGTTCTTCCTTTTATAGTTCTTTCTAATTCATTTAACTTTTTGATTACATCCAATTCAAGCATCTTAGTGACATTTTGGATTGAAGGAGGAGACATTTTCTGGCAACAACAACATTATTTGATTTGTGCTCTTATGCCCAACAATGTGTGCAATGGTGGTCCTTTTTCTCCTGAGAGTTCTGTGTGCGTTAAGGGTGATTTCAGGAATTCCCAATTTATTACTCTTGATGTTTCATATTTGTATGAAAAGTATAATGTCCATACTAATAATATGACGTTCTGCTTCATCGTATATAATGTGACAGTGTTCAATAGGACCTTTTTTTGGTCATATGTACTGAAGGGAGTAAAAAATGAAAAACATTCAACCAAAAAGTATGCCAAATTTGGGAAAGCTAGAATATCTGGTATCGTTGTTGGTGGTTTTTGCTTTGTTACTTTTATAGTAATTCTTTTACTTTGGTTTTTAAGGCGAAAAGGTTATTGCTGTTTTTCAGATGAGAAACACTCCCGAAATACACGAACACCTTCTTCTTTAAATGAGGTACAGCATGTGCTTGATTTTCCCTATAATGGGGATTCTGCACTTACAGTGAGTTTACCATCTATGCCTTCTCGCAGAATTAACAGTATAGATGAACGGACGAATCATTCATTAATTCCTGTACCTTCTGCAGATGATGGGATGAGGCATGTTTTTCCGTTTCGTCATATACTTATTGCTGAAAGTATATCACTTGCTGATTCTGTGGAAAATAATTCTAATGACATCAGTAAAGGCAATTGTGTTTCCCTTGTGGAAGGTGTTTCAGAGCCTATTCCATCTACTAATATGTATGAAGATGGATCTAACTTGCATACATCATATGATGTGTCTAATAGATTACCTTCTATTTCTGTTGAAACACTTCGAGATATATCGCAGCAAATATTGATTTCTAGCAGTTGTTCTGATAGCAACATAACTCCTCTTAAAATCAAAGAAAACTGTACTGGGAAAGACGTTATTATTCCCCCATTGAGTTCGAATAATAATAATAGTAATCCCTTATTAGGTAGAAGAAAAGAGATAAATGAAGTGGAATATACTATTTCTAATATTTCAGAGTCGGTAAAAAATACTGTTTACACTGGATATCACTCTACGTGTTTGCCGGAGTATGAACTGGGAGTGTACCATAATCCTTTTTCAATTGCGGCACTACAGACGCCAAACAAAACAACCGATATTCCTATATTCTCAACGGTAGAGGAAGAGAGAAGTGAGAGTTGTTTTGGAAACCCATTAACTCCTCTTCCTCCCAGTAAATATTCTCATTCTAGTACTGGACGTCTTGAATCTTGTGAAATGCAGGAGAAACGTTCTCCTTCTGTTAGTTGTGATCAACATGTAGAAAAGGAGAACGATAATCAATATAAAGAGAGAACATCCAGCTTCCGTAGATCTGTGAAACACCACTTCTATTATGAGTTAGGAACACAATCACGTCATTTCTCTGAACCCACACCAATTCCAACACCAGATCCCTCACTTGCTAATAGGCTCATGACGAAAGCTGAGAGTTGTCCACTTATTTATTACACCAATCCCGCCCTCCGCGCACCCTCTATAAACCCTACCTTTATGCCCTTCTATAGCACCAAACCAGACTATTCTAACTTGACTGGTACTAAGAGTAATAACCGTATTAGTCATGATTATGATAGATATACTAACACTACTTCTAATACTTCTAATACTTATACTTCTAATAGTACTAATAGTATGGGTATGAATACTAACAGCAGTGGTGGTTGTCCTTCACCCTTTATAGGGTTTAGTGGTGGAGTTGTTTCTCCTGATAGTTTTATGGGGATATATGGATCCTTTGTAGGTGATGATCCACTTCCGAAGGTTATATATATAGACGCATTTGATGAACAGGCGTATTATAATTTCCTCAACAGAGAGGGATCCACATCTACAGATGAGTGTACACCACCACAGGGCGGATCAGACTCTTCGGACTCGGAATCGGGAGATTCGAACAGCACAGATTCATGAAGAATCACATTCTATTTCACTTTATATGATGATATATATATATATATATATAT